CGTATAGGGAGGATCGGCTCTGCTGTTAGGTATTGACATATTTTTTACCTCCTATTGTAACAACTTTTTATTATGGTCAGTTAGGTCTGATGGAGGTGAAAGAGGAACATAAAAACGTGAATGAGGTGGAGGAGGAACATCATCTCTCCATCACTGGTGAAAAACCTTTGACTCTCTCACAAAAAACAACCAGATTCAAGAAGTCTTACATCTGCCCTCGGTAAAACACGACTCGAGCGCCACATAAGAATTCACACCAGAGAGAAACCAGTCACGTGTGTCGAGTGCGCGAAGAGCTTCCCGTGTAAAGAAAGACTTGACAGGCACAGGTGAAAATCCACACCGGAGAACGCAATGCGGGAAGAGTTTCCGACACGTCAACGGTCTCGAAGATCACCAGCTCTCTCATGCCACAGTGAGGTTTTTTAACTATGATCAGTGCGGTAAGGATTTTATTACAGCGTCAGCACTGAAGAGATACTTGAGAGTTCATTCAGATGAGAAGCCTTACTTGTGCTCTCTGTGTGGAAGGAGTTTTGCACAGGTGGACTGTTTTAAAAGGCACCAGGAGGTCCATAGTGGTGTGAAAGATCAGTGTGCTATAGTGCGGGAAGGCTTTTATTACATCCGACCAACTTAAAGGTCACATATTTTACACCTTTCTGGGGTTTTGATGTCCTTAAGAAAATATATTTGCGGTATAAGTACCAAAAACCATCTCAATATATTTTTACAGCTCCTCTCTCAGGAGCTCTGCTGAGAGCAGGACGATTTTGGCCTGTCTAATTAATATTCATGATCCTCTCTTCTGATTGGCCTGTTGTGTTCTGAGTGACGCACGGCCAGGCCTACCACAGGTAACTAGGGTCAGCGACGTCACAGCGCTAGCTGGAGGCAGCAAAACAAAGGGGAAACTGGAGGCAGCCCATTCAAACCAGCGCAGGTTCGGTTACATAAGGAGCTTAAAATATCATCTTCTTGTGATGTTGGGTGCCAGAATCGACGTAATACAGCCTCGAATTAGAAATTTGATCGCATATCTGCTACCACTGCCAGACAAAAAAACGACGACAGCTGTGGTTAAACGCGATAAAACGAGCAGACTGGACAGAAACAATCATCAAAAATGCTCTCATTTGCAGCACACACTATCAGAAAAGGTTCAATAAAGTATT